GCATACCTTAAATTATTAATGAATACCTCAGTTTTAAGTCATGTTAAAATAAAGGACGCAGGAGATAGTTTGTTCTATAGGTAGTAGATAGATGGCAAGAACTACCAAAACCAAAAAGGTGGCATATGACTTTTATACAGAAAAAGCGATTTTAGTAATCGGCAACAGTTTTCATATATATTCCTTATTAATCCTTATTCTTGCAAATATGGCATTATGATACATTATGATTACTGTATCGCAATTTACAGGCACTGTAAAGTATCTTAAGGTGCCTCACTCTGAGAGGAATTTATAACAAAGCAAAAGAGCTACAAATTCTTGTACACAAAGTTGGAAGGCAATCACAGAAAAAGTTAATGTAAATTTAAAAAAGAATCCTACCACCACCAAATTCAGATTTTCCAGAAAACCTAAAACGTAAAGTTCTAGTGCCTGATATACCTTAATTAATTAGCTGAAGACTATCTACAAGTAAACATGTTAAAAGAATGATTTATAAAAAGAAAGCTTGTATTTTGAAAGTGAGTTTGTTCAAACATTTCATAGGCTCTCTTTTAAAGTATTCAACCAAAGCACTTAAACAAGTACTGGATCCTACCAAAATTATTGCAAAACCTCTTTATGAAATTTGTGAAAAATTCAAGATTTCAAAAATGCCTTTCCTGTTTAAAATATTATTCATGATATCAACACACTGCACTTTTAGTAAGATAGAGATAATATATTGTACTCAAATATGAACAGAAAATAACAAACCAGCATCACAATAGCTGTATTTAAGATTTAATTATATAGCTTAATGAAAGCATTAAGTTCAACAGAAGTACTGTAATAACACTGTCATAGGAAAGTCCAAAATATATTGACTTGTTCATTATTTCACACAGAATGCAATGCAACAGCTTAAGTGTTGGATCTAATGTGCTATTTTCAGTATTGTACTCGCAACAGGTGAGGGGCTGGTTACAAGATATATCAAGCAAAACATGCATGTGGTTGAAACAAAACATAAAACAACATATAAAACAAAACATTAAAACATATTTAATTCATTACTTGTTGAAAAATACTGTATATGATATGAACATCAAACAAGTTATTTCATTAGCCTACAACAAATCAAATACAGAGGGATAATATTTCAAGCTATTAATATTACTACAACTACTAATCCATAAATCAGGAATCAAAAATATTGTGGTAATGGGGAGGCTCTGTTTAATAAAGGTCATTATAACTCCTAGCTCCACAGCCATAAGATGTAATATCCTCTCTGGTACCTCTATGATATGCCCATGCATTACTGTTCTTGTTGACAGTCTGTTGCCTTGGAAATATTTCATTATTTCAGTTTTTCCATTTGTAGACCCTTGGCCTTGTGATATGAAGGCCACCCTATTTCATATTTTCGATTATCATTTAAGCAATCTTTCTGGAGCTATTTATATAAAAGCAAGTGTTAGACAATGCATATCATCATTTATCATTGCTGTGTTTAAGCATATACTGTAGAAAGAAAAACCAAAAAATGAACAGAGCTTTGTTCCACTTACTTTACAACAGAAGCACAGCGATAGGCTTTACAAATCACTGCAGACATATCTTATGCATTATATTTGTGTCTATTTAAAGCACATTCCTATGCATATCTATTGAAAATGAGCCCCACTGAATTCTATGGTGATTACTTCCAGGTGATTGTGTATAAGGTTGAGTTCCTAAGATATAAACAGAAAACTGCGTAACATTCAAAATTATTAACACAATGTTTTTAACATGAAAATACATTAAATTCAAGTCCATGTTTTTTCCTCCCCAAAATAATAAAGTTTGAATATTAACTATAGCTACTAAACATCAAAGTTTTTAAAGACTGCCTTACCAACTAGTCTATCAGTATTTATAAAAGTTTAATACATTTTACTTCTATTCAACAATTATACTATCAATGTATAACAACTAAATCATAAGAATACTAAAAATCTGCCGGTCTTTTAAGCATCACTGCATGCTTGCTTTATCTGAAGGATATAATTTATTTCAATAAGATGTGCACTATATTCATACATGTTTGCTTACATGTAAATCTGTAATTTCAATTCAAAAAGCATGCCCAAAATTGTTGCCTTAATCCCTATTACAATTTGCAGATTAAAAAAAAACAAGGCAAGAGAGTAGTTTTAATTAATACTAAAATATAAAGTGTACATAAAGAAAATACTGAGCATTTAATGTATTGAAATATAGTTCTATTCTTCAAAGCACTATGAAGCAGCAACAGTTTGACATTACCATGTCTTATTCAAGCCCTGAAATAATTCATGTATAATTTCATCATAAACTAGTTGGAGCACAATAAGCAGTGACAATAACTTAGGCCTTGGGGCATAAAACAATCTGGACACCAGAGCAAGCTTTGGGTTGTCTTTCATGAATTAAAGTTACCCCCACCACCACCCGTTAAAATTCCACTCCCTACACAGGATAAAACTACTCTGATCCAACCTTTAAGATGACAGCATCAGAGCTGAACAAGAATATGTTATTAAAGGGCATTAAATTAAATACAGTATATCCTCCTACAACTTCAATCAGAATTTCAGACCAAGTGTTATTTAGTACAGCTCTCAAGTGAAGCAGAATAACAAATTGCACACTTTGATTTACCTTCTTCGAATGCCAAATGGAGACAGGTGATAAAGAAAGCACTCATGCACAGGCTATGAAGTTTCCCCTAGAAATTAATTCTATCTTCAAGATTCCTATCTCAGAAAAATTCCCAAAATGGCACACAAATATGCCTCTGCTGCAGAGATTACTGAAGCTGTCCCAGCAAACATACTTATTACTAATATAGTACTAGGCTCATAAAGAATATACAACTCTCTGGTTTGGAGCCATGGTAAGGTAAAGACAGTGTACACCAGCAGTTATGGACAGTATTAGCTTTCTTTCCCTTTGAGATGTACAGCTTTACAGGATAACAGCACTGCTCTATAACGAATAGTATGTACATATGCTTTTTAGTCACTGGAAGACACTGAAAGTTTACAGGAAAGGAGTAATAAAGTGACTTCAAACCTAATTCTTAAACTCTATAAATATTGCCAATATTTCCAATCTGACTCTATGCAAATGTTACTGGGAGTCGTGAAATGCAAGTTTATACCATCAAGGAAGCAATAAATGCAGAAAGAACAGTGAAACGGAACTATTTGGATTGAGGTATCTTAACTGAATCACCTCAAATCCAAAATACCAGCTCTGTTGCTTTAGACATGCAGATAAGGATTCTCTTGCAGGCAACATGCAAATTTAAATTCACCCCCTCCTTTGAGATGCTGCTAAAAGCTGGTTGTTGCACTCTGTTAAGTATTTAAAAGCTACAGTATCTTCTCTAATCTATCAGCCTGTAATGTGTAGACATGTTATGTTTTTTTTAAAAATATAGAAGTTTTGTATCTTAACTAGCATGTGTATCAATTCTGAGTTATTCAACAGAATAAACTCTGCTAAAAGTGAGCACGAGGGATGACAAATATTGTATGCATACTGATCTTTCCTCATATGAAATTGAGCCTCATCTGGTAGCATCAGATTAACTTTTTAAAGTATGCAACTAGTTATCCTTCCTTACAATGTTTCACTCCAGCTATCACGTTCCTTAATCTCCATGCAGTCTATATGCCATCAGTTGTTTCCCTATTATTTCCTACAATTTTGGTCCCATTCTCCTTATTAGCCATCTTCTTTGGGATGGGAGGCCTACTGCTGAGGTTCAATCTTATGTGGATCAAAGGCCCCAATGCAGAAGCCTTCCTGATTCCACGCTCCACTTCTAGGATTGATTATAATTATCCATAAAGTACTTTGCACATGCTTAGATCAGGTACCATAGGTATTAAGCCCTAGCAAATCCTACCTCAAATTATTTGACATTAAACTGCAAGAAAGTTTAACTGCCTTGGTAAGGAAACCCACATGTGTTTTTTTCAGGTTTTCACAGCTCAAACTGCTATTCCTTCGCACTTCCATTGTTTCCATTGGCTCCTCCAGAGGTTACCGTTACTTTCAAAGGGAACATTTGTCTCTTCCTCGAGGCTTCCAAGGTGGCATCCTTCTCTAAAGATGCACTTTAAATTTTGCCCAACGCAACAGCTGCAAGCACCTCACCAACTACAGAACCGAACGGGAACAACAATAAAAAGTATATCGAATGGGAAGACGTAAGCAAGACACCTTAACGCGAGCCCACCTGCCCTACTTCCTTTCACATCAAACTCTTATGACTAAGCTTCTCCCGGGCAATAAGTAAATTCAGGGATAAACCCGGGCAATTCCAAAAGGAGGGGGAGGGAGGGAGAGATATACACTTGAGGCCGGAGGGTTGTTTGCTTAGCTTGAACTAAACTTGCGCCAGCAGTTTGAGTGGAGTCCCAGCAAGCTCCTCTCCCCCCTTTCGGCCTAGCTGCACGAGCCCAGCCAGTCTCTCCACTAAGCAAAGCCGGGCCTGGTTAGAAGCTGTTTTCCTCTCGCGCACTCCCCCCGCCCCCTTTTGCTCCGTTCCAACCTGCGGTGGGTCGTCCCTCCCCCATTTGTGGAGACCCATCCAGCCGAAAAGTTGCCTCCCGGGAATTCCGCCCCACCCCCTCCCTGCCTCCGCCCTCCCCCCACCCGTGCGCTCAGCCAGACACCGACGACTCCTCCGATGTGGGGAGGTACAGGCTCCCTCCTGATGCTGATGCTGCTGACGGGCGAGCCTAGCAAGTGTTGTGGATCCAGCAGCAACAGCAGCAGTAGTCGCAGCCGCGGCGAAACGTGCATGCACCACGAGAAACTCTCGAGCGGGTCCTTGGCCACCCCTCCCTCCGCATTTCCCTTTCCCGTGCATGGAAGCCAAGCCAGACCCAAGGTGGCGGGCGGCGGCGGCAGTGACGGCGGAGTCCCAAACCCAGACAGGCACTGCTGCCTCGGGTTCAATATAGAGAAAGTGTTACCGTTCTCGCCTCGAAGGATCCTGCTGAAAGCTTGGCTTGGTGGGCGCCATCTTCCTGGGCTTTTTTTTTTTTTCCCTTTCCTCTCTCCCTTACTTTTCCCCCTCCTTGTGTTGCTGTGTGGTGTTGTGTCTAGCGGCAGCGGCGGCGGCCCTGCTTAGACAGGCAGGAGGAGGAAAAGTAGTGAGGCCAATGCATTGCGGGCTCCCGCTCCCCGGCGCAGCAGTCCTGCCGCAGGTTGCTTCGCTTAGCTAGCGCGGCTGCCGCCGCTGCTCTGACCGCAGCCGTCCATAAGCCGAGGAGCGGAGAGAGCCTAGGCTCCGCTGCCTCCGAAGACATACCAAGCCCGGCGACGACTGGCCGGCCGCAGTTGAGTGAGAAAGCGCGCAGCCCCGGTGGGCAGCCCGGCCATTGGCATCGCCCGGCAGGTGTGACTAGGCACACGGAGAGGGAACCCGTGGGACTGGCTTTAAGCGCGAGGCCAAGCCATAAGCGGGAAAGTGAGAAGTCTCTGTTCTTCAGGCTTGGCTGCCGTGGAAGTGTTGGCGAGCATTTTCCAGCTGCTTCCCCAGCTCCGGCGCTCTGACTCTGGGTGTGCAAAGGGACAGGAAAGCCTCCGCTGCCGGCGCAACAACGCCACTCAGTTGCAGTTTCGCATACTTTCCTTCTCTGGAGGAGCAGAGCCAGCAGAGGAAGAGGGAGACAGACAGGGAGAGGGAGGGAGGCAGACTAGGAAGCCGCAAGCACACGGTCGCTACTGAGGGAAATTCCCAGCAAAAGCCAGCGTGTATTCAGGGAAGACCCGAATGCACGTGGGATAAAATACAAAATTGGAGAACGTGTTTTTTTTTAAGAGGTGTTGGTTTTGGGTGTTTGTACATACACAATCGGCGCACAGATTTGAGCGCGTGTGCGTCTATTAGCATACGTGCATGTCTTTATGTACACAACCTATGTGTCTCTATGGAAGAGGAGCGACATCCTTCAGCTAGACGAGCTGCACATGCGTCTGACTCTTGTCCTTCGTCCAACTACCGTATACAACTGAGTGGACGTGTGACTGCGCAAAAATGGGTATAGAATTCTATCATCCGGACGTACTACTACCGTATTTCTTCTGGCATATCGATAGCTCACCCTGTTGGAGAAAGTTCATTTTGTTCTTATATACTCCCACTGAACCGGATCATAAGTTCATGAAGAAATTTCTGATATAACAGGTGGGGACGGGCAGAGTGGCTCTTCAGGATATCACAAGGAAAAAAAGACGTGTTTTTTTTTTAAGGGTGAAATGGCAAACGTTTTTCTACGAATATGAGTCAATTCATCTTAAAAGTTGCTCTGTATCACTAATTCACTCAATCGCTTCATGGGCTGGAGGGAGTAAGTAAGGTGCTGAAGCGGAATTTTGATAAAAGTTAAGCGGAATGCAACAGATGCACGCGTGCGTAGGTATGCGAATAGCTGCATAAGGACTTTGCAAATGCGGAAAGTTTAGCTGGAGGGCGCAGTCAGTGACCCCAAAAATATGATCTGTGCCACTGGAGGCAGATAATTTGACCTGCCTTAAGTCCCTCAGGGTTCCAAAGAGCAGATACAGCTGACCTAAGAAGCTTCAATGCAGAACCTTACAGCAACCCCTTTGCTTCTAAGAACTGCTTTCTGGTTTAGCACGCAAAAAATGGTTCGGTCGTTAAGTATCTACACTCAAATGAAAAGTAATTCTTATAAAATGGGGGGGTCTTGAGATTTTATCGGGGGAAATCCCATTAACGCTGCCTGGAGACAGGGCTGCAAAGCCCCGTTTTCTCCACATGCTCAAAACAATGAAGTTTAACAGGTGTCATCTGGTTCATCCAGTGACTGAAAGACTAGCAAAATCCTTCTGCTTTCCTGAACTATCCTATGGCAAAACCTGGAAGCTGTTTTTTTAATGGGTTAAGAAGAAAATGCTTGTTCTTAAGTGCCCACAGTCTTGAAGAAACACGATTTGCTATGCATCTTAAAAATAAGGAAAATATGGCATATATTGATTGTAAGAGACAGTATACTAAGAAAACTAAACTTGCAATTATGTTTCAGTTAAACGATAATACTTAAGCTGAGTAAAATGAAGCTCATTCTCACAACACTATCCACGTGTTGTTTTCATTGGGATAAATAGCTACAGGTTAGAGGGCATTATATTTAATAATCCTCTTTATATTGTCAACTTACCAAATATATACTTATTTCTCCAGTTTTGTACATCCTAATTAAAATACTCAAACCTGAGAAATGTTCCATGTATTATTTACTATACAGGATAAAATCTGAGAGCTATTTTCTTATATTTGTAAAAGTTTTACCATTTGAGCCTTGACTTTCCTTCTACCCAAATTAGCTGGAAAGTATAAGGTGACAACTAATCATCAATTTCTCCTGGTAATTTAAGAAACCTGTTAAAACATAGTCCCAAAACAGAATAGCAAGCATTACACCAACTTTATTCTTTATATCCATTGTATCTCCTTAGAAAGATTGTGTATGTTTATTTAAAATAGCCCTGGTTTTCAATTCCAAACCATCATCGGCTATAAGAGTCTTCTGCTGTCCCCTGAAATAACTTCATGATTCTCACACTATCTCAAAAGCGCATAAAGCAAAGGATGCTTGAAAAGTTTACTAAACCAAACCATGTTCCTGGCACCCAATATTATCCGGACAGCTTTCTCATTCAAGCAAACATAGTTCCAGCCTGACTGGGTTTAAGTAAAGAAAAATATGGTTTTCAAAAGTTCCTTGTCTAGTGAAATTTTAATTTTGAAAGTATTGGTTTATTTTTGCATAAGCATCAGCTTATGCTTACACATATTTTGTTTCATATGATAACCTCTCTGGAGGAAATTGTAGATCATGAAAAAAGAAAAGAAAAACATGTTGTGAAGCAGAATCAAAAACAAAAAACTATCTACTTTTGGAAAAACAAAATGTCAATTAATTGTATACTATGTTAGTGCTGGAACTCTTCTGCAAAGTAATGATAGGAAAAATAAATTTTAAAAAAATAACAAAGAAAATCTTGGGCACTATGACTTGGCTAAGTTAATGTTAGGTCCTTCCAATATATAATATCTGTTCAAAAGCAGTTAAGTTAAAAAGGACTTATTTGGACAGAAGTATATATAAAACTGCAACTTAAAGAAGCTGGCTGTGAGACTCTGGTATTTGCATTAAAATGCATTTCTGATGAATACTCCCAAAGTGTTAAGTCACTTAGAATTTCCTACTAGATTTCCCTGTAGTAACAGGTGACATGCTAATACCCTGGTAATACAAATGTGTAACTGCAAGGGTGAAGTGCCAAGTGAAAACTCTGTCGTGCTCAATTGAAAATAAATCATCAATCACAATAGCGTGATCAATTATACCTCTTAGCTGCCATGCTGTGGGGTTTGCACAAGCCACTGACATTGAGAAATTCCTACTTAGGAGAAACAGACAGGATCCCAAACTTTGCAGCAGAAAAAAAAAAGATAATCTGCCTTTGAGCAGGCGGCTATCTTACTTTTCCCTTCCCTATTGTTGTTTCCAAGATCAAGCAGCTCTAACGTGTGTTCGCGGCTTTTAAAATACCCTTTTGGATGAAGAGTTGCATTCCCCAAAGCATTCGACATTAAGATTTTGGGTTGTTGTTATTTTAAAAGATGAACACATAACGCGCACACGGACATAAAAGGCAAGTGAAATAGTCCAAAAGATCAACACACCTCTCTAGCTTATGTACTCACCGTTGTTGGTAGGAAGTAATGCCCTGGACGTTTTGCGGATTCCCGTTAGCTGCGGTACTGGCTCTCCCCACGCCGGGGCCGGCTGGTACTCCCCCGGCCGCAGCTGCAGTCACCTGCACGCTGAAATCCGGGAAGATCCGGATCATTCCCGCGGCTCAGCACCCAGCGAGTGTCGGCGAAGAGGTACAGCAGCTCCTCTCCCTCCGGCGGCTGCAGCAGCAGAGCCAGCCACACTGCAATCCCATTAGTGAACAGCGGCCACTGGGAGGGAGGCACAGCGCTTTGATGTGAGCGGCTGGGCTGAGATTGAGTTGGGGGGGGGGGGAGAGAGAGAGAGACTTAAAGTGAAGCGAGGGAACAGAGAAGGTATTTCACCAATTTGCAAACACACAACGCGCCAGGATTTGAAGAGAAGCGCGGAACTGGAAGGCTGCGAAAAAAGGAGGCAAAATCGGGACGGGGGAATTCTCTGGGTAGCCTAAACCCGGGACTATGAGGGGGTGCCGCAATTACTTTAACGCGGCTGTGAAAATGATGGGCAGCAAATGTTCTCTCTTCCTCCCCCCACCCCCACCTTCTACTCCGCCCCAACCACGCGGAGTCGGTTTCTCAGACACACTGCTGACCGCAGCTTCGTGGGCCACAATAAACAGGCGAGGTGCGGGGGAAGGGAGAGAAGCGTATGTGTGCGGCGGGGGGTGGGGGGGGGCAATTCCCGGTTCCCAAGGGGGGGAAAAAAAAAGCGATGGGGAAGAGGAGACGTGTTACAGGATAAGTTCTTGAGAACTAGCTTTCCTTCCCCTTCTGTCTTCCCCCTCCCCTCCCTTCTCCTTTTCCTTCCTTTCTTGTATTCTTTTCTCTATTACCCCCCCCCCCTTTTTTTTTAAATGAAGCGTCGGTTTGCACCCAGAAGAAAAAACGCCGCTTTGTGCCGCGGTGGGGCTCGTTCTCTTCCAGAGGGAAGTGACTCTCCTGCCCTCCTAGTGTGCGGCGCGGTTACTGCTACTCAAACTTGGAAGGGTAGGGTGTCTGCGCGCGCGGCTGGCTGGCTGGCTGGCTGGCTGGCTGCACGCACAGCTCTCCCTTGCTGCTCTAACAAATCGATTAAACCGTTGAGTGCAGTGCAAGAAAGCGGTTGCAAATGCATTATATGAAGCGGGAACAAACACAATAACGCGGGAGGCAGCTCGGTGTGCTACTGCGAGCGAGCGATGAGCACGCGCCCTGTTAACCAAGGTCCTGGGGCAGCTGGCTGCAACGGCGTTCCTTAAGTTGGCTCTTTCAGGTGGGACTTTGTTGTCCTCTTACAGGCAGGGGAAGTTAAGCGATACATTTAACAGCAGGGAATCTCTTCCCACGTGTAGGGATTGTGGGTATTGCCGAGTACTTTGCGAGGTGAGGGGCTGCGGTTTCTTTGTGCGCAGGACGGCGTGCAAATTTACATTCCTATTCTCTCATCCTTTCTCGCTGCAAATAACAGGGGAAGGGGCTCGCAAGCCGCTTGTTGCGCCAGCAATATAGGACTTTGTGAGAGTTGCGAGCAGGGCTTTCCAAGGGCGCGTTAAGCGGTGGAGTAGGATGGGAGCTTCCCGCTTTACGCCTTCCCGTTCCCACACCACAAGTGCTTCTCCACTACAAACGGACGGGTGTCAAAGGGAAAGTCTCTGCTCAGGCAAAGCCGTGGAGAAGACGCCCCTGTTGTTAACCAGAGGCACTGCGGTCCCACTTCCCTTTTTTTTTCTTCCTGGTGTCCCGTTTCCCTTTCCCTTCCCTTCCCCCTTCCCTTTCCATTGCTCGAAGTCCACAATAATAAAAATAAATAATTACAAACTGCTTTGTTCCCCTGTTAATATTCGTTCTGCCTGCTAGTCTGTATAATTGTCAGGATACATCTG